GGCCCCCCCCCCCCCCGGGCCCGGGTTAGGAAAAAAGGGGAAGGGGGGGGGGGGGGTTTAAAAAAAAAAAAAAAAAAAAAAAAAAAAAAAAAACAGCCTCCGGGAAGGCCGAGGCAGACAGACGATGCGCCCCCGGGTTCGGGACGGCTGCGGCGGGGAGGGGCTCGCACCCTCTGCCGGTGCTTCTGGAGGTGGATCAGAACTCGGTCCGATGGTTGAGCTCGTTTCTAGATTCTAGAAACAACAAGCATCCTCAGCTGGCGACTCCCCAGCGCTTCCCCCCTCCCTGCTTCCTCCCTCCCTGGACGGCTGTGCTCATGATGTTACCGCATGTCCTCCCTCATCAGCCGGCGCAGATGATGCACAAACAACTAAACAAGGCCGGCGGTCTGCTCCTGAAGACGGACACGATCCACAGGAGCTGCGCTTCGCTGTCGGGATGTCCTTGTCCTGCTGCAGACTGCTGCTGCTGCTGCTGCTGCTAACCTTCCAGCCGGTCCCCCCTCTCTCTTTACACTCCTCTACCTCTTCATTCTCTCCAGCTTCCTGCTCTCCATCGGTCAGCATCAGCATCCGGGTTCCGCTGATGCGGCCCCACCCTGCTGCCTTTCTGAAATGCAACTTCCAGTTTTTCATCCGCCGTAGCCACAAAAGAAAATATATTTTAATCTCAACTGGAAGGTCAGAATCAAAGACACGAAAGCTTAAAAAACAAAGGTTTTGAGAGAGAAGGCAGAAGACCGAAGGAGATTTTATTTAGTTAGCCAGTGGCGGTTCTTGCATGAAGAGCACCGTGGGCGAAACACTTACCCACTTCCTGTGGGATGCAAAATCTGGTTATTTCTGCTTAGACATGAAAAAAAGCTTAAAAATGTTCACACATTGGCACATAAAATAACAACAAGTGTTAAGGTGATACAAAGAAGAAGAAAAAAAAATACATTTACAAGAATAAAGTAATAATTTTATGAGAAATTTTGAGGATAAAGTCATACGAGAATAAAGCCATAATATCATGAGAATAAATTAATATATTATTGCAAGAATGAAGTCATAATTATATGGAAAAACTCATATGAGAATAAAAGCATACTACAAGAATAAAATTGTAATATGGGAGTAAACTTCCCACAAAATTATGAGAATATAAAGTCAGAATATTCTGATAGATAGATAGATAGATAGATAGATAGATAGATAGATAGATAGATAGATAGATAGATAGATAGATAGATAGATAGATAGATAGATTTTCCTCCATTTTAAAGCTACAGCTCTAAGAAACGCAGCATCTTACTGTGGTAAGAAGATAAAACAGCTTTTGGAGGATTACTGAGCAGAGGTTTTAGGAACGTACAGTGTGATATTAACCATGAAGGATTAAAAAAAATCTTTAATATTTTGTAAGAAACACAAATCTGACATTTTCGGGGCTTGGAAACCTTGAACCTGATTGGACATGTGGAACTTTGGCATAATAAAAGAACATGAAAACTGAAGAAGGTAATCATAATCACAAATATAATAATGTAATTAAAGAAAGAAAAATAAAAGAAAACAATTAGTTTGACAGTTAAACAAGTGGTTATTATGGTCAAAGTGTGCCAGATGGCTGGCTTTCTTGTTCAGACTGAAGATTTTACAAATATGCAGCTTAGTTGCGCAGCCTAATGGAGAAAATATATTACGTTAATATTTATTTTCTCTTTTTAGGAACAGTATTAAAGCCCCACTTTAGTTATCAGAAGGATTAGACTGACTAGACGTAATCTGCGTTCAGTGTGCGAAAAATAGTCTGCATGTGATTAATTCTTCAGTTAATAGTAAAACCGAAAATAAATAAATAAATTTAAAAATCTGATATTATTAACAAGCTAACAGGCTAACCCGGGCTACTGGCTGCGTCCGCTCTTCAGACATTACAAATCTGTGTGTGTGACCAGCCTCCACATTGTGATAGCTGCATGATGTTGATTTCTAAAGCTTAATCCACGTTAATCTTAATCCCTGGATGTGGTCAGGTTGATGCATGCAACTCAGATTATCCCTCGGTGCCGTGTGTGTGTGTGAGTGTGCAAGTGCACAAATGTCTCTCTGTTTCTGACCCGCTGAGGCAGCACTGTGAATAAATAATAATAATAATCTGAATTCCTCAGTTTCTGCAACTCGAAATTAAAAACAATCAAATCACAACAAAGGAGTCGATGGTTAGTGACTACTGGGCGATTATAGGCATTTTTATTTCTGTTTTGGTTGTTGTTCATAAACAGATTCCTAAAAATTGTTTATGCTCTTTCACTTGATCAAGTTGCAAACAGACATTTCTGTGTTTCACGATAAAAATCTGAAAAGTGTGGCCTTCCATGTCTACTCAGACCCCTTTGTTCTGATAAGGGCCATCTGGTAGAATGGTCCAATCAAAGTACAAACCAAAATCTGTTTGAGAAGCTGGGTCAAGATTTGCTCAACAGGAGTGAGTGAAGAAACTATGAAGAAATTTGGCTCCGAAATTTTACATTTTTAGTTTTTAGACATTCAAACTTGTGGCTGTAATTTCTGCAAAATGCAGTTCTCCAAAGCACTAATACAGATGGACTGAATATAAATGCAACCCACACTCTTCAGATGTATCTCTGTTAAATTTAAACCATGTAGAATTTTCCTTCCATTGCTGTTTGTTGCATGCTTGTCTTATAAAATCCCAGTAAAAGACATCAAAGTTTATGTTTTTAGTAAAAAGCAGAATTTTTTTTTTCGCTGACCACTGAATGTCCAAAACTGAGATATATTATCAATCAGCAGCTTATAGAACCTGTCTCAGTGAGATTCTCCTTTACAAATAAAACTTGACAAACTGATAAAATCAGATGTTTACACATGCTACATAAAAATAATTTTTTTTTTACTGTCTGAAGAAAAAGCAGACTAAAGTTCTGTTGTTAATTATTTAAAAAGTGTACATGGGCAGAACTTTAAACATGTTTTCAGAGCGAAGAGTCTCTGAAATGTTCCTAACTTTATGCTTTTCACGTTTTTAAATGTCATCCCAGTAGCTCTATCCCATCTGTTCTCTCAGAAAAGAGCTGAAATGCAGGAAATGTGTTTTTTTTTTAATACTTTTCCTCTGGAAGACATTCAAAGTGCATAAAGATTTCCTGCCTATATTACTCTTTTACTTGCTATATGGAATTACAAGGAGTAATTCCATATAGCAATAAGGAGTAATAATTATCATTATTACTCCTGATAATGTAAGTACACGTTTCCAACCACAAGATGGCGGTGTTACGTTTGTAATTTGGTTTGATTTTTGTCCTCCTGAACAGAATCTGCAACACAAACACTGACGTACATCTGGTGCGTACACACTGTTTTCCGGGGTCTGTCCTCACCGAGGTCAGAACTTTGTGATGAAAAATCCAAAACAATGACAATGAGAATTTTTTTTTCAGTCAAATTCTTTGGGAAAAATAATTATGAATAATGTAAATGCAGATTTAATTTAGATTTCTTTCATGATGTCACTCAATGAAGTGATGCTACGCATTAAATTGTGATATATTCACACGTTTTCCTGTGTTTTACTCAGATGCTTTCAGTTAACCTAAGAGAAGCTCACAGTGCCGGGACGACGTCGTCTGGGCTGATTTCATGAGAGACAAATTGGGTGAAAATACGACCCAATGTGCAGTTAATTCATCACTTTTTACAGAACCTGGTTTTGAATGTAGATGAATTAACTGCACATTGGGTGAAAATACAAAGGAGGTTTTTCAGTTTACAGCTTCAATGTGTTCAGAAAACTTGTGTAATGAAAAATGACTGGTTAAACTGAGCGGTTTTGTCATTTTAACGTGTAAATTGACTGACTCTGATGTTACGCTCTTCCCTTTGCCCTTTAGGCTCGTCTGTACAGAAATACAGTACGTCCTCCTCCCCACTGTGGAATTTTCCTCTGGTATTTAACAAGAAGACATGATACATCTGATGTGAAGCACTCAGACTTTGTTCTGGTCTGGACTGCTCATGTTTGAGTGGCATATCGAAGTTGTTCATGCAGATTAAAAGCTCAGTTTGAGGATGATGATGTTTAAAGTTACATCGCCTGCACTGTAGTGTTGGCAAGTTCAATGCAGTAAATTAGAATATATTATTAAGAACCAGTTATTTGCTCTGGTAAGCCAATCTAAACACCTGTTTAGGTTCAGTATTACTAAAAGCTAAAAAAAAACATAATTGAGAATTTTGTTCAGTTATGACCTTAAATTGAAAATTGTACAGCAGGTAGCAGGATCACAACAAACAATTATTTTAATTATCAATTAATCTGTTGATTCATTTATTGATTAATCTGTCAATTATTCTCTTGATTAATTGATTAATCGGGTAAAAATTGTTCACATTTTGCAGAGTTTTCATTTAGGCCTTTTCATACAATATTAGAACTACATTAAAAGATGGAATTAAAGAAATACTTCAATTCTTTTTGAAATTGTTTTGTTCTTTCAGTCTTAGGCCTTTTTGATCAATTTGCTAAATTGATGATTAATCAATCAATCAATCAATCAATCAATCAATCAATCAAATTTTATTTGTATAGCACATTTCAGCAGCAAGGTATTTCAAAGTGCTTGAACTGATTAATTCAACAGTTGATTCATTACAATTAATCGTTTCAGCTCTAGAGAATCACTGACATCTTCAACATGCAGGGTAAGCCATTGCTAAAGAAGATGGCTATTCAAGGCAGGGTTGTATCCCAGCATATTACTGGGAAGTTGAGTGGAAGGATGAAGTGTGGCTGAGGGGTCAGTGCTGACAGACCCGCACCACACATGTCCTATTAAATGTTCTTTTCTCATGTTAGACGTGATCTTTGTGAATTCGATGCAGAAAATCAGCTGAACTGACTGAATTAAATATTTATTTAATAACTCTGCACTGGTACAGCTCACCAATAGCTTCACAATCCTGGTGAAACATGTTAAAGCAACACAATTTTCATTTGCTCAGTCAGTGTAATTAGGAGAAGGACAGCTTCTCCTAATTACAATAAAGAATAGTAAAGAAACTGAAACCGATAAAAACAATAGGTTGATTATGTTGGTCAAACATGTAAAATAAACTCAACAAACCTTCTTTCAGTTGGTTCAGAGATTGCAATTAGGAATTCTTAATATAATGCAAAATAAATAATAAAGCATGACATCAGTCACAGAACAAAGTATAGAATTAGACTGAATAGATCTGACTGTTATTGTGAGAAATATCTTCAATACATCTGAAAAATCCAAAAGGAATATCTCCTTATCTGATATTTCAATAGATACGACAGACTGGTTGATTTCTGAAGGCACATGGGATTTACTACAGTTACATCTTAATGTTATTAAAACATATCAGATACATGAGTCTAACCATTTCAAATGACATAAAGTTTTCTTTGAGATTATAATTTACTGTGCTTGGAACCCTTACATACAGTTACGGTAGACAAGAGCGACTTTAGATTCTGCTTGTGTTTATTTAATGAAAATAGTTGCTTTTCTTGGACATTTTTTACATGTACACAACAGATTTAACAAACATCTCCACAGTTACGTGAATGAAGGAAGCGTGTGGATAAACTGGAGTCCGGTTTGACCCTCTGGGACAGTTGAGGACAGCTGCTGGGTCTCGGGTGTGCTTGTCAGAATCTGATCCCTTCAGTCCCTTAGTGAGACTGAAGACATTTCAGCACTGACACAATGTATAACGACTTGTATTGAGATGCTTGACATTAACTTTAATGAGACCTTCTTCTTTATACAATTATAACAGTTGCAACTCTTGAAGGAAGGCAGTCTGCCGGAAGTCTTTTGTGAGGTCAGACACTGATGATGGACGAGAAGGCCTGGTGGGGCAAGTTTATGTGTATCGCACATTTCATGAATAAGACGATTCCAGGTGCTGCATGGAAAAATCAAGAGTAAGAGACTAAAAACAGGGGCAAAAATTAAACATGAAAAAACTAATAAAATACAAGTTAAAAAATTATTCAAAAATTTACGTCAGAAAGTAAAATGCAAAAAAGTCACCCACATACTTCATTTGTTGATGTAGTTGAACTACGTCATGCAACCACATGACATTTTGTTTGCAGAGAGGAATCCGCCTGCCGAGCTCCACACCAGGTCCAAGTCAAACTATTTCAACAGAGCTCTGTGCGAAGTGTTGATTGATTGGTCAAAAGTTTGTTACCTTATTTTACACAGAAATGCTCTCAGACAGCAACGCTGACATTTCTCTTCAACCGGTCCGCTTCATCTATCTGGTTTTTGTTTTGCCAGGAGAAGTAAATACCTTATGAGAGAAGTTTTTCTGACGTGGTGAGGAAGTTATGTACATTTGTATGATTCTTCGCAATCTAACTACAAAGACTGCCGATCGGTTGAAAATCTGTGGATGGAAACTGCAATGTTGTCCATGGTCTAGTAAAATGAGAGGAGAATCCTGTAGGTAATCTTCACTGTTGTTTGAAAGCTGTGTACCAAAACAAACAATCCATGTGACTCAGAGTCGACTTTTCTGCTTTGATTATGTAGTCGTCTCTAACTCATCCTGAAGGTTTCTTGTCAGGTTGCATCTAAAGGTATATGGTTCTCTGCAGGACAGTCGTCAAACATTTGGTTTGTGTACTGCACAAAGTTTGAGGAATCCTCAACTGTCCTCAAATCCTCAAAATGTTCCTACAGAGCTGGAAATAAAAATCGACTTGTCGCTGTATGCTACAGCATTGGAAACGGACAAAATGGAGCACCGAATCACGTTAACACCCGTCGCCGTACCGCTCAGTGGAAACGAGGCGCTCACATCCTACAATACAGGCATTTATAAAAAAAAAAACCAAGAGCATCAGTTCGTTTTCACACCATTTCTTTTATACTTTATTTCCATTTATAAGCATTTATCTCAAGTCGACAGGTTACATCGCAGCCCATCAGCTCTCTGGAATTGTCAATGTACTGGATATCAGCAGGGAGGATGACGGAAAGACTGAGGGAGACCTGGTACGGCTAAAACAGGGAGAGGAACGGATGGGGGAGGGAGGGGATGCTAAGGTTACTGCTTCCAGATCCCAAACTCAGACCGATCAACACAGTGTTTGTCCCACGATAATCATCATCCTTATTGTTATCACCATTCAGTCGAGTGCTGTTGTGCAGAAGGGAATGCTGGGAACTTGGAGGACTCAGTGCATTGGACCTGGAAGAGAGGAGGGCGGATTTAAAACAGAGATTTATGACAGCAAATGATTTCCCTTTTTTAATTTCTTATCTTATCAACTTTATATCGGCTCAGTTGTTCATGTTATATATTCCTCAAAGCTTGGACAAAAATGACAATGTTAATATTAATCTTTATGCAAAAAGATGTTGTATTAGCATTGAAGATATTATTTCATATTGTTTTGTTCTGTTTTTTCTGCCATTAAGGTTAAAATGTTTAGGAGTTTCTCTCCTAGACAAAGAAGCTGATACTAAATCTTTATCTATCTTTGACAGAAAAGGTGCAGAATTTGTGCTTCTGTGTATTTTGTGTGTTTGCTCTGTCTTCTCAAACAACCTTATGTTTTTATTCCACATGACATCCACAATAAACTACATTAAAGTTTGTGGTTGTTGCAACATCTGGACACTTTGTGACGCTGCAGGGATTCTTTTTGGTAAAATGCAAAAGCAGTTGTGACTCTGTAGATATTAATTAATTTATTTTTTTTCAGTCATTTTTAAAACAGGTAAAAAAAATCCTACATGACAAAACTAGTGAAAAAACAGATTAACAATATTTAAATTCCTGTCAGGGGCAAGAACACAAAGTGTAGACTGGAAAAAGCATCATCAGACTCAAAGCAGCAGAATATTTCTTTTATATTTTCTAAAACAGATTTCCAAAGGATTCCAGGTAAGTCCGAACACAAACTCATAAAAGAAAACATAATTAAATGTTATTGCATTTGTTTAGCACACCTTTTTTATTTAAATTGAGGAAAAACACAGTTTTAACTCTTCACAACAATTATCCCACACCTGAATCCCTCTAACTGAAGTACAATTGTTTTTAATATTTAGCCTGACCTTCTGAAATCAGTTTGTTTCTTTAATTTCGAACCTCTTCTGTATGCACTTTGAAAAGAGTTTGTTGCAGGCTTTGTGTATATAATGCTGTTCTGAGCTCTGCTAAATCACAATATTTAAAGAATGCAATGTAAGAAATATTTCATTAGTTGGATGAAAACTATCTGACACAGTTATAATTCAGATAGCTTTCTTCTGGAGGTTTTGTGTTGTTTTTATACAACCTTCCCCTGATCTGCACACATTATCTAAGCAACAGTATAACATGTGAAGTGCTTTCTTATTTGGAAAATATATATTTTTTATTTTATTTAACTTTGCAATCATTTTTGACATTTACATTATCAACCTTCCAAGAGAATCACCCTGAAAAATTCTGATTTCACGTCATGAGTTTGACATCATTAAAACCCCCCCCTTTTTTTTTTTTAATGTTTACAACATTACAAAAAAAAAGGCTTCCCAACTGTTCCCAGATGAGCTGAACAGGACTGAGTCCATCCTTACATGTCAGGCTGCAGGGGGCCCCTCACGACGTCCCCTCAGCCGCGCTCTTCACGCAGGCGGCGAAGGCCTCCATCAGCTCTTTGCAGCCCTCGGCTCCCTTCTCCGCCATGCTGCAAGACAGATCGATCGAATTTAATGGATAAAGACTCGGGGCAACCGAAGAATAATTCAGAACGCCAAATTCTGTCGGTAAGAATTTGGTGCGGATGCTTTAAATCTGCATCCACTGTTTAAAGCCTGTTGACTAAACAAATGCCTGTTTGAAATACTAACAGATGTGGAAAAAGAAAAAAGAAAAAAAAAAGACGTGAGCGGGAGCACGTCCGACGAGTGAGAGGGCTGACAGGAAAGAGGGAAAACATGGATGCGGATTAATACAGGCTCCCATTCAGCAGCAGACACTGCCACAGAGCATCAGGGTGATGGAGCGAAAAAGAGAAGGGAGGGAGGGAAGAGAGGATGGGTCCATGTGTTTGGAAGGGGAGGAGGAGGAGATTGCATGATGAAACAGAGATAACAGAGAGTCATGTTACTGTAGACTCATCCTCTGGCTCTCCTCCCAGGGCTTCATCAGCTCCCTGTCAGGAGCTGCTCCTCCAGCAACAGGCCCCAGCACCACTTTTATATTCACTATGTACCTACAGCAAGAAAACCTGAACTTTTTCATTGGTTTTGTAATAATTTGTCTCACTTAGTGTTAAAGGTCTGAATCCAGAATATCTACAAACGTAACAGACTAAAAAGATGTGATTCAGATTCTTTCTTATTACTACAGTTCAGAATACATGTTAGAAATCTTTACATGGCTGAGTATTACAAGTTTTACAGTAAAAACAAAGGCAACATTTTCATCTAGCAATGAACGTCCCCACCCTCCAACACACATACACACACACACATACACGCACAAACATGCACACACATCAGTCAGGGATGGTGGATGACACCATTTCTTTTTCATTCATAGTTTTAACTGTGTGCTGTTGTTTAATTTTAAGCAGCTATGAAGCACGCAAGTTACTCAATAAGTTGTTGCTACGTAACCAAAGGGTGAGTTAGTTAGTTGACGTCAGGGTCAACTAAAGCAGTCTTTAGTTGACTGCTTTAGTTGAGCAGCTAAAGACTTCCCTCTATCTACATTTCCCAGAATGCTGTGTGGTTCTGAATCAGAGTTCAGTGAATATTCTATCAGATGTATTATCTCTTGATATTGGTCACATGTCTACCCACCATACATATTGTTTCAATGGTCTCAGTTTTCATGGTGAAATGAAAAGTATCCAGTTCCATCTGGACTTGTGTTCATTCAGCTCAAACCCAAACCAGACAAGAGAACAGAAAAGAACAGAAATATTCCTTATTGTCCCACACTGGGGAAATCCAACAAGCCCCGCCCCCCTCTGACTCTCCTGCTGCCGTCTCTCATATTTTTTGATTCACCCGTTGCTCCTCGCTCCCCTCTCTGCTGCGTCGTGTTGTTAGCAGTGATGTAACATTCAGCTAGCTGCTGCAGATTATCACTCTGAGCCTTGTTCTGCCTGGAGGGATGGAGCAAAGAGTGTGTTTGTGTGCTGCTTGTGAGGATGTGGGAAGAAACGGGCCTCTGAGTGTACACTGTACACACCCGTGTGGTGAAACATGATTGGGTCTGATGACCCACCAAGAGAGCAACAACAGCACCCCGAGGATGTTGAAAAAAAATAAACCCTGCTACTGCTACATCGGGCCCAGAAAGTACTCCCCACAATGTAAATCCTAAAAGTGGGAATAATTTGTTCAAAATAATGGATTTCCCATTGTCCTTAAAGAAAATATTGGCTTTCAGAGGGTCACTGAGGTCCTTCAGGAATCCAAACAGGTATGCTCACCGGATGTTGGGATTACAGTTAGCGGGTCTGTATGTATGAAGTTGATGACATCATCACCAACAAAGCCATTGCGTAATCTCCTCAGAGAATCAGTACAGGGTTAAGGGGCAAAGCTGAGTTGTCATAGCAACATGTCAGGTCAATCTACGTCCTGGCCTGGAACGTGGAATGAGGAGCATTAAGGAGTGACGTCCCCTCTCCTCGGCAGGAAGTGGGTGATGAATTATTTAGGCTCCGTTAGGTGTAATGAGTCATCAGGGATGAATATATGTAAAACATCAGTGGGCAGGTGCAGAGGTTAAAGGTTCCCATTAAATAAGAAACTAAAATCACACATGAATAAGTTTGTTCACACGATAAGTCAAAAACATGCCACGCCAACAACAGGAAGTGATCTTCCTATCACTTCCTGTTGTCTTCTTCGTCTTTCCCTCGAGCATAAAATGTTCATCACATTACTCGCATGATGCAAAAAACTGTTTCCATGTAAGGTACACAGAAAATAATGAAAGAAGAATCTCTAAGGTAACACAATATTTTCTGGCCAAAATTGCGATGAGGTGGAAGTAAGGATCATCCTGTAGTCCCATCGTCATGACAACCCTGGCAGAAACCTGGTTAAGGGCTGTTAGACCATGAGGAGGTATAACAGTTTCTGGTACAGGTTAGGTTACCTTTTGTATGCCTGTACAAAAGGTAACCTAACCTTTTGTAAAAAAAAAAGTCATATTAACCAGGATAAGAGGAGTTCTATCCCAGACATACTAGTTTTCTCAGCATGACCACCTCAGTGTGCTTTAGCTATTCCTGGCTCACTGTAAATGTGAAGCCTTTGCTTCTTTAGCCAGCCTGGGTTAAATAAAACAGGTATCAAGTAGAGCAGAAACATGATCTATGACAGAGAGCACTTCACCATGTCCTGCACATACAGTTTCACACATACTAGAAGATATAAATACTCAGGGACTACTAATCATTACACAAAATGAAGCCGCGTTGAGTTTAATGTTAGCTTAATTTTGCTAGCATTCAAATCCAGGTGTAGCCAGAAGTGTTTTTTGATACCACCTTGGCCTTCCTCATGGAAGAGACTAATGTAGACCTAATGATGTTAAACCAGAACATTTTCCTTCAAAACATCTTTATTGAGGAACAAATAGAGACAATTTTAAGGTTTAGTAATATAAATATCAAGGAGTAAAGTTTCTTCAGTCTAGGCAGATGAGAAATTGTTAACTCAAGCAATTGTTGACAGATTTCACTATTTGAATGGCAGCAAGGCCTGGACAGAGAAAAGGTTAGTGTTAGCTAGCAGCTCAACATCCTTTAGCAGTCTTTAGCAGCAACCTTCACAGCCAAATGTGTGCATGTACAGTTATAGGCAGCAGCTTCTACATGTCACAACATGGCGCATGGCTTTTAGAAATTTAGATAATGATGCCAAAATAATTAAATTGTTCTTTTAACAAAAAATACTGACATATTACATTTTTTTCCAGTTAAAACCTTCCAATATCTATCTAAATTTATTTTTGTTAGTCTCAAAAATATTGGTAATGATGATTTAGTCTATTTTGTCCAGGTTCTGGTCTTAACATCACAAGAAGTAGAAAGCAGTGGCTAAATGGGTATTGCTAACTTTAGCACCTTTAAAGCATAAATATTTATAGATAAACATTTAATTTAGCTAAAACTCAATGTGAATTCTTGTGAAATAGAAGAAAACTAGATGTAGGAAATACTTCATAAAATCAAAAATATAAATCCAAATATATATAGCTAAGTATTTATATTCTAGCTTAATGCTAAAACTCAGTATAGAAAACTATAAAACTGAATAAGGTGCACATTCAGGGACATCTCCAAAGAGGTGTGTTCATCTGTGTGTTCAGCTAGCAAAGCATCGATGTAGCAAAAACATTACTTAAATTCTTACAAAATTATTAGAACTGCAGACTGAAGCAATACTACCAAATTAAAATATCAATTCCTGTAGAGCTAGCGAAACAAACGGAACTCAAAAGAGATTCTTATAAAACTCTAGAATCCAATAAAGATGAGGAGAGACGCAGGTAAAGAATTCACTGGCACATTAAGTAAAGGGAAATGAAGAAGTGCTAGCTTGATAGATTAAACAAATGTAATGGACAATGATTCTTGTGAAATTCATGTCTTACTAAAACTCAAGGTCGTAAATTCAAGGTCATAGCATATGTGTTTACTATTCTACACTGTGGTTCTTCAAAACTCAAAACTTAACATGTGCTGGAAGGCTATATTTATCAGTGCTCATGCTGCTACATTTTGGCCCTCTGAAAATATTGGGTTCAAGTTCAGCTGACTTCAGCTGCATAAAGTGACTTATATAAACGCAGAGCCCTGCAAGACATCAGTGACATAGCACATATATCTACTTTGAGCGTCTTATGTCTTAAACACCATGAGGTGTGATTCTTGGCCAGAGCTCCTTGAATTTCTAGAATATCTTAAAAAGAAGAGCAATTCAAGGTACTTTTCAGTGACTGCACTGTGGTATTAAAACTTAACATACAACTTCAACTTGCAAGGAAAACACAGCTTAGTACCCTTCAACATAAAGTTGGCACCTGCAAATCTTCAAAGCAAGATTCATCCACGCCTTTTTAAATTCTCTGCCTCCACCTCAACTTGCAGTCTCATCTAAAGGATTCATACCCCCACAAGAACTTTATCAACTTAAACACTCTTGCCAAAGCAAGCTAGACTGTTACTGCGTTCCACAAAACGTGAGCACTTCATCAACCTATAAATAACAAGGAACCAAAAATGTTTTCAACTCTGTGTCAATGTCCTAGTTGACATCACTTGGAGTTAAGCTCTTTTGGACATTCACAAAAAACAAAACAAAAACAAAAACAAAAAACAATTACTAAAATCAAGTTTGTCAAAGCATCTATTAAATAAGGCCACTGAATTTTTTTTAACAAATATACAAACAGCCCTGCAAAACACCCTTTTGCCTTATGTCCCTGAAGGTTGACACAGAAAGAGTCGGAAGGATACAGTGGGGACAAATGGATCGAGGTGCCGCAAAGTATTGTGGGGAAAGGGAGGCTCGTGACGCAAGCAGATTCCCAGCCTCCATCCATGCGGATGGACAAGCATCAAGCATCACCCCACTGCCATACATCGTTAACCTCCAATTATTCTCCCATACACAGGATATCCCAGAGTTTTCATAGCCCCTTTCAGCAACCAGTTGGGATGTCAAAGTCTGTTACATCCCCACATACAAGATGTGGATGTTTTTAGCCGCAATCCTTGTGTCCGCTGATGAGACTCCATTTTATCATTGCGCATTTTCAAATGCTGCTGTCCATAGCTAACCCAGAGATGTTGTGACAAGCTCCAAGGTTTTAATTGTTATCAGCCGCAGGGTGATGGTGGTGTTTGCTTGTGCAGTTGCCTCTCATGAAGGTATCAATCCAGTTTCTTGCAAGCAAACGAAGGTTATACTGATCTCCACCTCAGTTTGTATGGTTATGTAGATGCATCTCTGAAAGCCTCAACAGATGGTCAAGCAGGTCTCTCTGTGATTAGTTTTAGTGTCAAAGTGCCCAAACTTCCTTACAACACAAATTCCATCACTTACCATTTGTCCAGGTCTGCTTTGACGCTGGCGCACGCTGCAGGGACGGGGGCCACTGCGGGGGCAGCCGCGGTCTCAGAATCCGACATGTCTGTGGTGGGTTGTGGTGCTATGTGGTGCCAAGGGTACCCTTTCTGTCCTGTTTCTGTCCTCTGGACGCCTATGGATTCCAGTGCCAGTGATAGAAAGAGAGAGACAGAGAGAAAGAGAGAGAAATAGAGAGAGTGAAGATGAGAGTGAGTTGGTGGTAGGGGAGGGGTAGGAGAGTGCGGGAGGAGGTGGGAGGAGATAAAACATGTGAGATGGAAGCACACATGTGTACATAGCAGTTCAGGTTGAGAGGGCAGTGACCTGAAGCCAAAGGCTCAACATTAGGGTGAGAAACATGGGCAATAATTTGGGAATCTTCCTAAGTAGACTAAACTCCAGAGCCATCTTTTGTATGATTAGGTACACTGAAATGACTTGACTCTTATGGTTACATACATCTGCTTTTGGATCTTTTTTAGAAACTTTTTTGGGACAGTTGCTTACCTTTCAAGAACCTGGTATCTTTGTGGAGACATGAGTCTGTTCCAAATACTTTGAAACATTTGGGTTGCATTTGGGCTTAGCTCCAAGAAAGAATATGTCAGTGTAGTGTTTTAATAAGGACAGAAAAATGAACCTGTGTGAATGAGTGTGTGTGTGTGTGTGTGTGTGTGTCCAGACTCACTCTAACCCATTGAATGCTGCCATCTAATGGCAGCTTTGTAAAAGTGATTTATACTACAGTACAGCCATCTTCACAATGACCTTCTGGCAGTCATCAGATGTGAAAACAGATTTTTAAAATCAACATACAGGACAATGAATATGTTTCACCATGAATACTTTCTGGTATTCATGGTGAAACATTTGGATTTGGGCAGCAACAGATCATTTTCATCTGTCGGCATGGTGATCTTTTTTTTGACCAATATAATCATAATTCATGTGATTAAATGAACCGTCCTGTTTGACTCCAGGCACATGCTTTAGAAAGAGAACAAAATGCACCATGTGGACAGAAACACCCCCCCTCTCACTCACACACACACACACACACCCCTACAGGTGCAGGTGAACTATAAGGACAATTTTTCCGTACCAGTCACAGTGGTGAATTATGGGAGCACCCCTTTTCACTTGTTCTACAGACTGGTTGAATGTGTCAAAAAATCTTTTATGAGCCACTCAACTAAGATCTCAGTTAAAATTGTGTATACACACTACAGAACTCTAAATATAA